TCTGTGACATAGAAATTTTCAACACTCAGGTCAATGGGGAGAAGTATCTTCTATTGGCATCAGGCAAGAAATGGGCCCCAGATCTCCACTCAGGGGTCTCTCTCCACTCCCGCACTCCCTCAGCCTTTCCTGCAGCCCAGCCGGGGCACCTGGACTTATGGCTTAGTCTCTTCTCCAGAGAATCTCCCGAGTTCACCCTCTAGCTGTCCCTGGGCTGTGTGACGTGGGCAAGTCACTTACTTACACTGTCTCTGCCTCAGTGTCCTCAGCAAATAATGGAGCTGATAGTGCAACCCCAGCCACAGAGGCTTATGGTGAGAATTCAGTGAAAGAGTTCATGAACTCTTCTTTTGTGCTATTTTAACCCTTCTATTTTAAACTTCTAATTATATAATATGTGAATACACATTATTCACAGGTAATTCACAGATTTCACTTTTGGGAAATCTTAAATGTAGAAAAAAGAAAATGTCATTTTGACTGTGTCTCTCACCGCTTTCCCCAGAGGGAACCACGATGGTCAATTGTCTCTCCTTCCAGACCTTTCTATATGCATTTCATAGATATTTGCTATGTTGGCTCCTCTGACTTGTATAGTTTTATGGGATCATATGATGTGGATTTTTATGCAACTTGCTTTTTTTTCTCACAGTAGTGTCTCTCACAGATGTTTCCACCTCAGTACTGCTGCTCAGAGTTTATTTAAACACCCCCGTGTTGGTAGAGTTTGGGTTGTTTTAGCATCTCACTGTTAGAACTGATGCTGCAAACAACAGCTGGAGTGGGGGTTGCCTCCACGCCCTCACAGGAGCATTTCTGCAGGACAGACACAGTCCACGTGTCACTGGTTATGCTGATTCAACACATTACAACCCCAGCTTTTTGTATTCAGTGCCTGCCTGCTGGTGGCTCTGAGCTGGCCTTTCCATGGCATGTACTGCCCAGAGCCCCTCAGTGTCACCTCTGGGGCCACATTCAGGGAGGACAACAGACATAAGCCTGGGCCCCAGATACGGCAGGGTCAGGCCAAATGTGTGGCCGGGGGCCCTGGCTAGGTCCAGTGCTGACCGGTAAGGGAAGTTTGCCTTTGGCACCTGTGCCCTCCGCACAGGTTCCCCTCCTCCCTCCAAGCCCTCTACTCCCGTCTCCACCAACATAGGAGTCACCACTAGATAAGCGGCCATCAGCAAGTCACTCAGCTCTGAGACTCCCTTCCTCATGTACGAACATGGGCAAATGGGGGGAGGGAGATGAGATCAAGTATTGGCCTGGGGAAGGGCTCTTCAGATGTAAGGTATAGAATCCTAGTCCAAGGGAGCCTCCTGCCCTATCCCACGTGCTCCTCCTGTAGGGTCTCCTGTTCAGCTAGCCATTAAGTCAACTACCTGCTCTCCTTTTAGGGGTTTGCAGTCAACTCGGTTGCTAGCTGTCAGCCAAGATCCTCGCTACCCACTAAGATGTTAACTCTCACCAAGACGTTAGTTAACAATGCTTTCCATCTCTAAGGAGATGGCCGCAGATGCCTTTCCCCTGTAAATGAAGGCACTGCCAATGCAGAATCTCTGATTACGTCTTTTGCCTTCATTAGACTGTCAGTTCTATGAGAGCATGTTCTCTGGAACATAGTAGGTGTTCAGTAAATATTATTTTGAATAAATGATGAAAAGACTTTGGTTGACTCATAGGCATGAGGTGGCAATGACAGGTCATACTGGGGTGAAATTTGAAGCAGGCCATCCCAGAGAGCACCGCATAGATAAGCATCCATGGCCATAGGCCAAGGGCTGCGCAGAAATCATTTCCTTCTTTTTCTCTCCAAGAGAAAAGTCAGCTGGCTTCTCTAGGGGGTCTCCTGTGTGGGTGCTTCTCAGAAGGGCCACCCCCAGAGCTGGACAAGTCCAAGCCTTCCAAGTTGAAAGACCCCATTTCATTAGCTCACTCAGGGGTGACCGGGCTCTGGGAAACCAACCGAGCAAGCTACTGACTGATCAGCCAGATCAGCAGTTTATGGACTCATGCTGGCAGCTGTGACTGCCAAGCGGCCCGAAGCATTCGCACTGGGCCCTGTGCTTGCTCGTTCTCTTTGCAGAAGGAAAATGTGCTTGGGAATCCAAATCAAATGCAGAAGGAGCAGAGCGGAATAGAGAGAAATCATGCTCAAGAATAGAAATAGTGTTCTCCTGATCGTGGTTAAAAAGTAAGGAAAAAAAAAAAGAATAGAAATAGTGGATACCACATACACGGTCATAAATCTACCCTCACAACCACATTGTGGTGTGGGCATTGCTGCTATCCCATTTTGTAGATGAGGATACTGAGGTCAAATGGATGACTCAGCTACCAGCAATGGAGCCGGGCCTCAACCCCAGGCATTTCAACTCCTGCTCCTGTCTGGGGTGCCCTTCCCTCAATGCCACTGAGCTCAGGAGCCTGATGTGCCCTGTGCAGGGCTTCCCTCAGCCCTGGGCATGACTCCCCATTTTTGCTCTGTTAAGGCCACTCAGCTCCCCCAGGAACAGTGCTGCCTCCCTGATGAGAAGCAAGAGACACCTGAGTCTCACCAGCAGCGCAGGCACGTCCTCAAGAGGGCACCTCTCCTTCTGCAGATAATAACAATGAAGCCACATTAATATAATAGCAAGCGTTCATTAAGTGCTTATCACGGGTCAGGCACCGTGCCAGGCCCCTTGCATGCATTATCTCATTCCCACAACAGCCTCAGGAGGCAGGTGTGCATCTCCCATTTACACATAGGGACTCACAGGCCCAGAGAAGTTCAATGCTCTGCCCCAGGTCCTACCGCTAATGAGTGATAGAGCAGCGCCTGGAGTCCAAGTGGATCTGATTTTCAAGCCTGTGCTCATAATTGCCCCCACTTCTCCGCATTTAAGGGGTGGCCCTGCCTCAATGTCCTGCTTGCTGGAATTGCTCCCTGTTGGAGCCCTGGCCTCTTGGGCATGGGGTGGGGGGCGTTTCACTGTGGCTGGGATTCGACTAGGATTCCACGGGGCTCACCTATAGTAACTCTGAAGTCTGGGTCTTGGGAGTCAAGGAGTCTGTGCGGGGGTGAAGGAAAGGGAACTGGGCATGACCCCTGCCTCCTGAGCAGGGTGCAAGCTGCAAGGACAGGCCCCAAGCCCTTCCTCCTCTATCTGCTTCTCCCATAGCTCCTGCCTCATGGAGTTCCTCCTTCTTCAGATGTAAGTTATAGCATCCTAGTCCAAGGGAGCCTCCTGCCCTATCCCACGTGCTCCTCCTGTAGGGTCTCCTGTTCAGCTAGCCATTAAGTCAACTACCTGCTCTCCTTTTAGGGGTTTGCAGTCAACTCGGTTGCTAGCTGTCAGCCAAGATCCTCGCTACCCACTAAGATGTTAACTCTCACCAAGACGTTAGTTAACAATGCTTTCCATCTCTAAGGAGATGGCCGCAGATGCCTTTCCCCTGTAAATGAAGGCACTGCCAATGCAGAATCTCTGATTATGTCTTTTGCCTTCATTAGACTGTCAGTTCTATGAGAGCATGTTCTCTGGAACATAGTAGGTGTTCAGTAAATATTATTTTGAATAAATGATGAAAAGACTTTGGTTGACTCATAGGCATAAGGTGGCAATGACAGGTCATACTGGGGTGAAATTTGAAGCAGGCCATCCCAGAGAGCACCGCATAGATAAGGCCTTTCTTCACATAAAGGCCTCCCAGGCTTCCCTAGGCTTCTCAGCTGGCAAAATCCTACTCAAGCCCCGGGCGAAATGCCCCTCTCCTGGGTCACCTTCCTCTGGCCCAATCAGTAGCTCCTCCTTCGTAGCCCTAATTATGCATTTCCTGGGTTTTCTTGTAATGACCTGTAAGTGTTCCCCATGACCCTGTGAGCTTCCCCAAGGCAGGCGCGGCTTTGTGTTTTCGTCTCCCGCTCTCAGACAGTCCCTGGCATGCAGCTGTCGCCCCATGCGTATTTGGTGTATAATGAATGAGTTTCAGAGGACCTAGGGAACACGCCTTTCATATACAAGTGACTGAAGAGCCCAGTTAACAAGAATGTGAATCAACGTAAAGAATTCCAATCCCATGTGGACCAGTGCTTCATAACTTTTGAGACACTGGTGGATTTTTTGACCTCTTTCTCCAGAAAAGTGTACCACCCCTGCCAAATTTCAGATGCTACTTCTCAAGGGTTCTGCTCCTAGGCTTGGAGCCCAGAGGAAAGCTACATGGGAAGGGTAGGCGGGGGGCAGCAGGGTGGCACAGTGTTGTCTCAAAGGGAATCTGTTCATAGTGCGTTAGGCCAAGCAGGGCTCCAGGGGAGAGCTTGTTTCCTCGGAGGAAATGCATTAACCCTGTGTGCCATTAGCAGCAGGGCAGAATGGTTACACTTGGGGCTCCAGAGCCGGCCTGCTCAGGTTCAAATCTTGGCTTTGCCACTTTCCAGCCGTGTAACCTTGGGCAGATAGTTAAGGTCTCTGGGCCTCATTTCCTGTAGGAAGAATCTGATTCTTACTTGATGGGGATGTCAGCAGCACTGATGGGCTGATGTCTGCCCTGTATAGTGCTTGAGGCCCGCTCACCATTACCTGAAGCGTTCACCTCTGAGAGCAGGGTCCCGAGGGAATGGAAAGAAGACTGGACCTCAGCTTGAAGGTCCCCTCCCCCAGGAAACCTTCCCTAATTCCCTGCCACACTCACGTAGGTGAGGTTCCTTGTTATCAGCCCCACTGCTCCCTGGAACTCTGTTCTACTTGTCATTCCTCCAGACTCTAAGCTCTGTGAGGACAGGGATCCTGGCTGTCTTGTTCTCTGCTGCATTCCTGTGCCAGGCACATAGCAGGTGCTCAGTAAATAGCTGCTGAATAGAATTAGGGATAGAAGGTGTCACAGGAGGGTCACTGGGCAACCAGGCAGCAGGTGAGGGGAATGAAATTGGGAGTGGGCCTAAGGGGGGCACCATAGTCAGTGTCACACTGCCTGGGCCTCTGACCTCTCTCTCTCTCTCCTCACTTCTCCAGTTCCTGGCACTGGACACCCAGTTGCTGATGGGTAACCGACGCCACTCGCTGAGCCCTGAGGAGTATATTTTTGGAGCCCTCAACATTTACCTAGACATCATCTATATCTTCACCTTCTTCCTGCAGCTTTTTGGCACTAACCGGGAATGAGGAGCCCTCCCCATCCCACCATCCTCCAGAGAATGTGCCCCCTCCTGGTTCCCTGTCCCTCCCCTGCGCTCCTGCAAGACCAGATGTAAAACTAGCTGCCAACCCAGTCTGTGGCCAGGCTGCTGTACCCCAGCCCGGCCCAGCCCGGCCCAGCCCAGCCCAGCCCTCTGCTGCTTGTACATATGCCATGGGGATCCTGCTGAACTGAGGCCACGTCACCCCCGCTGACACCCCGTTCCCCACATTACATCTTCCAAACTGGGACAGTCAAGGCTGAAGGTTGTACCTTGGGTTTGAGGGCCCAAGGTACAAGTGGGAGAGGCATAGCAGGATTTCAGATGCGGGAGAGAGACCCTGGGAGCCCAACGGAGCCCTGAGCCCCCATAAGTCCTCCCAGGGCCGTACAACCATGTGACCTTGGGGCACACTGTCCTGCGTCCAGTCTATGTCCTCCTTTCTCGTCCACGTTAGGTGTTGACACTTTGTAAGAAAGCGGGAGGGGCGGGGGGAAGCCGCTGGGCAGGTAGAGTGGGCGGGCAGGATGGTTGTCCCAGGCTGCCCATTTTCTCTTGGCTCTGATTTGGATCGGGAGGCTAAGGGCAATGGGAGAGGACTGAAGCCTGTGCTGTCTGTTGCTTGCTGTGAATGACAGGGCACTGTTGGGGCAGGAGGTGAGGGCCGGAGGCCCTGCTCCTCAGTGATGGCCTGTCCTAGGGCTCCCAGGGAGGCAGGAGCAAGGGAGCCAGTGAGGAGGTCTGAGCTCTGCCAGCCTCGCCAATCCACCCAGACCAGCACCCACCTGGAAGCACTGGGGGTTGCAGGGCCAAGCCCCACATCGTCTCACTCTCTTCTCTCCACATGCCAGGCTGTGTGCATAGGCCTGAGGCTGAGTGAGGCGTGTTGGGCCCTCCGGCTGGATGTTCTGGGGGAGGAGGCGATCGTTCTAGCTGCTAGGCCAGGCCCATCTGGAAGGAGTCCTGCTCTGCCCCAGCCCTAACCCGAGGCTATGCGGAGTCCCTTCTGCACCTCTTATTTCCTAAACCCTCCCCGTGGGCTGCTGCTTGCTGGCTTGTCCGCAGCCAGGCCTCCTGAGGCCTTCGTAGTTGGCAACGTCCACATCTCTCCTAGCTTCACTGGCCACTCACTCAGCCCAGAGTCCCTAAGTGCCCCCAATGCCGCTTATCTCTACATCTCTCCAATTTGAAAGCCATCCAGCTGATGCTAACAGCCAGGGCCAGTCCCTCCAGCTGGTCCCATGTAATGAGGCCAGGGCTCCTTATCAGCTTCCAGGCGGCTGGGATCTCAGGCAGGGTGTGCGTCAGCCCTCCAACCCCCGGAGGGGCGCCTGCCAGGGAGAGGACCAGGAGGCCACACCTGGGGGAGTGTGCAGCCAGCATGTACAGTGGCCAGCTCCAGGCCAGTGGAAAGTTACTGTGAGGAGATGGGAAGGCTCTGAGCGGATAGCAGGACCCTCCTTTGGCTTCGCCCTCTGGGGTCCTCGTCTCTCTCTCCGGTGCTGGGAGCTCCATCTGCCCCGGGAAGGGGGACGAGGTGTACTAACTATTCCTTCCCAACCCCATCCCTCCCCACCCTTCTTACTCACTTTTAAGAAGCACTGCAGAAGCATTTGAAGTTTTGTTCCATCTTGGAGATTTGAAGAGAAAAGGAGCCAAGAACTGGCGGGTGGTGTGTGCGGCAAAGGCTCTGGGGGCACGGGTGGGATGCCCACTGTGTGCTGGTCTAAATGAACCCATCACAGTGACCCCCCAGAGGCAGCACTCCACTCATGCCAGTCACAGAGGGAAAAGCCGAGGGGCTCAGAAAGGCTCAGTAATGTGTCCCAGGTCATACGGCTAGCTAATGGTGGGCCTGGGGTTCAGACCCACAGCTGCCTCACGCAAACAGGGTATGACACTTGCCTCTGTGCCTGTGTGGGGGCCGGAATGAGACCACATGGGAGCCCAGAGAGAGAGGTGGTCAGGCCCTGTTGTTCCTGGGGATTTCTTGTCCTCAGTGCCACCCCGGCCTCCTGTCTCTCCCAAAATCCCTCGCCAGGTTTTGCACGCTGAGGTTTCTACCATCCAGACATGAGCTGGGAGGCAAGATTTCTGGTTTCTGGTCCCACTGCCAGCAGGTTCCTGGTATTAGATGAGGGTTTCTTGCTGTCTGGGATTCAGTTTTTCCATCTGCCACATGGAAGTTCATAGCCAGGATGGGGCTCGAGAGGCACCAGAACCCTTCTCTCCACTGACCTCCTCTCCTCCCAGCCCCTCGGTTTCCTCTCCTCGTCACTGGTCTCAGTTTCAGAGGGGTCAGCCTCATCACCTCGTGGTCCTGCCACTGTCAGATGGCCTTGGTCATGATTCCTAGAATCTACTTGTCCAAGTTCTCCTTTCTCTGGGATAAGTTATGCAGAAACTGGGGATTTAGAAACTTATTCAGGGCTGAGTGCCAAAGGCTTGGGGGAGGAGGAGCAGGCCCTCGGCTGTAAACAAGGAACCGCAGGCATCACAGCCATTTGAGAAATGGCTTATTTGCAAACTGGGAAGGCTGGGCAGAAGATGCCGAAGCCTCCTACTCCTGGTTCCTGAGCGGAGGGGTCCCGGGTACCACAGTCCAGGTCAGCAGCAGAGTTCAGGCTAAAGTCTACGCGTTCCAACTCCAGGCAGTGGGGAGCCCCGAAACACCAGGAGAGGTGTCAGAAGGAGGAAGGGCGGGGAACAGGAATGCAGGATTACAGGAAACCGCAGCTGAGCAGATGTCACAGCTGTAGAGGAGGAAGGGAACCTGTGTGCCCCTCACATTTTTGGCCTGGGTGGGGCTGGGCCTGGGAAGGGGTGGGCTGGGTTTTGTAAAGCTGGAGGCAGCCAGGAATCTGATCGTCTGCAATGTGAGGTGAGGGGTCTCCCACTGAAGTCCTCTCCTAGAAGTGGTAGATGGGGGCTAGGGAGGCACACGCGAGTCTGGGACTCATTCCCGAGGAACACCTATGGCTACTTCTGTATCACCTGGGGAAGCCCCAGAATCTTAGTTCTTCCATTCTCTACTCTTCCTTCCAAAGGAGTCAGGATGGGACAGACACCTATTTTCCAAAAGGTACCTCCCTCCGTGGCCCACCTAAGGCAAAGTCCCAGGTGTCCTGGCTGCTCTCCTGGGTGGGTTGCGATTTTGCACAAGCACTTTTCTGCCCTCTTGTGGCTGCTTGAGGAAACGCGGGACCTGGTTGTGAGCATCACCGAGGGCCCATGTGGCTGGAGGCTGGGGCAGGATCGGACCACCAGCTCTTCTCAGACAGCCCCAGACCCATCTCATCAGCTACCACTGAGCCCTTTTGCTGAACAACGGTTGCATCTCTCAGACACAGTGTACCCCCGCCTGAGCCCTCCTGAGGGCCTGAGGGCAGACACAGCTCCAGGGACCTGGCCCCGCTGCCATACCCCAGACACTCCTGCTGTCCACTGGCCTCAGCTCCTGCAAGCAACCCATTGTCCGAGCCTTTTCCCTTCTCTGGCCTCGCCTTCCTGGGGTGTGTGACTGACTGGAGATAAAAATAAAAGCAATTCTGACACCCGCGCTGTTTCCCTCGTCTGGCATGTACTGGTGGCCTCAGATGGTCGTGGAGTCTGTGTGGGTCTAAGCTGGACCCATGTGAGAGCCTTCTCACCAGAGCTGCTGAATTTGAAGTAAAATCTCCACGTTTGTTTTCACATGGACAGAGTTAAATTGGTCCTCCTGTTCAATAAATTCTTTATGGAGGCTATCTGGAGCCCCCAGTTGGAAGCAATCCCAGAGGCTCCTTTGGACCAGGACTCACCCCTTTCTATGGAAGCCTGTCCATTGTGGGCCATTCTGGTAGAAGGGTCTTTCTTATTTTGAGCCAAAATCTGCTTCCTAAGAGGTACATGGAAGGAAGCAATGCCTGGGTTGCACCTGGACAGATTCTCCAGAGCAGCAGCTTTAAAACCATAGAATCTTGACCAGGCACAGCGGCTCACACCTGTAATCCCAGCACTTTGAGAGGCCGAGGCAAGTGGATCACCTGAGGTCAGGAGTTCAAGACCAGCCTGGCCAACATGGTGAAACCCCATCTCTACTAAAAATACAAAAATTAGCTGGGTGTGGTGGCGCACACTTGTAATCCCAGCTATTCGGGAGGCTGAGGCAGGAGAATCGCTTGAACCCAGGAGGCAGAGGTTGCAGTGAGCCAAGATTGTACCACTTCACTCCAGCCTGGGTGATAGAGCCAGACTCCGTCTCAAACAAAACAAAACAAAACAACATATAGAACTGGAGCTCCTTGAAGGCAGAGGTACAGCACACGGTCTCAGTAAAGAACCTTCCAGTGAGTGGAGGAATGCATGGGTGAATGCATCTACTCCAACCCTCTATTTTACCTGAGAGGAAACTAGGGAGCAGAGGGTGCCATGACTTGTCCAAGTTTACCCACAAATTAGTGACAGGGAGTGGGATCAGGAGGCACATGGGCTAATGATCACCACAAGCTCCTATGGGGAATGTGAGGCCGGGGCGCTGTGTGGGAGGGGAGGGAATGCCATCACACTGGAGCGGGGGGCTGGGGACTTATCCTTGTCTCTGACAAGGTTAGGGCACAAATTCCGCTGGAGCAGGGAAGGGCTGGGGCAAGAGTTAGGGGACTCTGAGAAGAGAAAAGTGACTTTTATTAAGCACTCACTGTATACAAAGCACTTCCACAGAGAGTAAGAGATAGGAAAGGGAGATGACACCAATAGTGGCGCAGGACAGAAACCAGGCACCGTGGCTGCGAGACCATGCCGCTGCGGGTCCTGAGAAGATGCAGGCCCCCGGGTAAGCGGTGCTGAGCTGTGGTGCCATGGAAAGGGAAGGCCCCTGGATCAGGGCTCAAAGCGTGCAAAACACTGAGGGCCAGGGCTGGTGGGATGGAAGGGATGAGTGGTCTAGGTTGGGGTACACGCTGGGCCCCCTTGCCGCCTCCTGCCTCACCACCCATTCCTATCTGGACTGCCTGCTAGCTTCCTAAGACTGAGGTACAAACTGCCACAAACTGGGTGGCTCAAAACAACAGTGATTCATTCCACCACAGTTGTGGAGGCTGGAAGCCTGAAATCAAGGTGTCAGCAGGGTGGGTTCCTGCTGGAGGCTCTAAGGGAGGGCCATGGCAAGCTCTCTCCAAGCCTCTGGCAGCCGCAGGTGATCTGCAGTGTTGCTTGGCAGTGGCGCCTCCAGTCTGTGCCTCCGTCTTCACACAGCCTTCTCTGCGTCTGCGTCTCAAAGCTCCCTCTTCTCTCTCCTAGAAGGATCCTGCCTCTGGATTTAAGGCTCACTATAAATCTAGGATGGACTCATCTCAGGTACAGGGGTTTAGAACTTGGACATATCTCTCTTGAGGGGGCCACTATTCAATCCTCTACACCATTCATTCTCTTCGGGCTGCCACTGCCCCATGGTACACATCCCCCACCCATGGGACAGTCCTGGCATACAGTACCCAGCCCCCAGTGAGGCTGGAGAAATTCCAGAGCTGAGCAACCTCACCCAGCTCACTCACGCCATCTGTCTTTACTCAAGTCTGACTACTCCCAGCAAACCTGTTTGCCCTCACAGATTGTGTGTGTGTGCACATGTGCGCATGTGTGCACGTGCGTGCGCGCGCACACACACACACATACCATGGATGGCTAAGATGCTTTCTTCCCAGCCTCTCATCCCCCACTCCTCTCCACACCCTCTGCTTGCTTTATCTGGGAAAACCCTGCCAAGAGGAGTGAGACTCGCCTGTCCCGCATCACTTCTGTCCCCCTCTGTTGGCTTCTTTTTCTCCTGAGCCACTATGTAAAAAGTCCAATTCCCGAGGCCACCATGCCAGAGAGGCCACCTGTGGTGCTCCAGCCAAGAGACCCAGCCGAGCCAGCCTCCCAGCCACGCCCTCCAGGCTGGCAGCAGCTGTAGGCAGGAAGAAACATCTTGGAAGTGGATTCTCCAACTTCAGCTGTTCCAGCTCCCATGCACCAAGTCTTCCTGGTTGAGGTCCAAGACCTCATGTAGCATAGAAAATCCATCTCCTCCACACCCTATACAAATTCCTAATTCACAAAATCTGTGAGAATAATAAAATGGTTGTGGTTTTATGCCACTAAGCTTGACGTCATTTGCTATGCAGCCACAGACTCCTGGAACAGGATTTGGTACCTGGAAGCGAGGCACTGCCATAGCAGAAGCTAAGACATGTGGGAGGCGCCGGACAGCCTCAGTGAGACTTCGAGGGAAAGCTGGCAAGGCCTAGAGGAGACTGTGGCTGAAGGCTCAAGAGAAAGTTGAGGGAAGCATTATTGGAATCTGGAGGAACACAGACTCTGATGTAGTGGTGGACAGTTGACTGAAACTTTCATCGGCACCAACATGAAAAATAGAAGAGGTGTCTCATTAACTGATGACTCTGACTAGGATTTTCAGGCAAAGTGTTGAAAGTGTCTGTCTGGCTTATTTGAGCCTTGCATCCTAAGATACAGATAGTGGGAGAAAAGCTAAAGAAAGAATTATTCTGTGTTTAAGCAGAATTTAGAGGTGATATAAAAAGACCAAGATAATCTTTCCAGCCAAGAAAGAATCATCAAAGTAATAATAAAAAAAAAACCCTCGGGGCAAAGATCAACTCCAGAGCACTGTCAGGAACACATAGTCTCTGGGTGTAGATGAAGAATATAAGGATAAAGCCTTTCAAGGCTTTATGGGTAAAGATGAAGCCAAAGCTGTGACTGTGAAAGCAGTCATTAAGCATCAGAAAGATCTAAGTGGGTGCCTCACAGAATCCTTCCGACACGGAAGTCCTCCTAAGGTTCCTACAGGCATCTGTTGCAGACCCACTCTGTTAAACAACAGGGCTTCTGGCCGGGCGTGGTGGCTCACACCTGTAATCCCAGCACTTTGGGAGGCCCAGGCAAGTGGATCATGAGGTCAGGAGACCAAGACCATCCTGGTCAACATGGTGAAACCTCATCTCTACTAAAAATAAAAAAATTAACCAGGCGTGGTGGTGTGCACCTGTAGTCCCAGCAACTCAGGAGGCTGAGGCAGGAGAATCGCTTGAACCCGGGAGGCGGAGGTTGCAGTGAGCTGAGATCGCGCCATTGCACTCCAGCCTGGGTGACAAAGTAAGACTCTGTCTCAAAAAAAAACCAGCTTTATTGAGATATAATCCAAACACCTTATGTTACCATTTAAAATGTGCAATTCAATGTTTTCTTAGTATATTCAAAGGGCTGTAAAACTATCACCACAATCTAATTTTAGAATGTTTTTGTCTCTGGGAGGCTGAGGCGGGTGGATCACAAGGTCAAGAGATCGAGACCATCCTGGTCAACATGAGAAACCCCATCTCTACTAAAAATACAAAAAATTAGCTGGGCATGGTGGTGTGTGCCTGTAATCCCAGCTACTCAGGAGGCTGAGGCAGGAGAATTGCCTGAACCCAGGAGGCGGAGGTTGCGGTGAGCCGAGATCGCGCCATTGCACTCCAGCCTGGGTAACAAGAGCGAAACTCCGTCTCAAAAAAAAAAAATGTTTTTGTCTCTCTCGCACATTAGCATTAGTCCCTATTCCCCTTCTTCCCCTATCCCCTGGCAACCATAAATCTACTTTCTGTCTCTAGAAATGTACCTATTTTGAACACCTCACATAAATGGAATCATACAATATAGTCCTCCATAAGTGGCTTCTTTCACATAGGAATCTGGATAGGGCACGGAGGAGATGGATTTTCTATACTCCGTGAACTCTTGGTTTCCAGCATTCTCTATGCTGTAGCATGTATTATTAGTTCATTCCTTTTTCTTTTTGGAGATAGGGTCCCACTCTGTCACTCAGACTGGAGTGCAGTGGCACAGTGTCAGCTCACTGCAACCTCCACCTCCTGGGCTCAAGCAGTCCTCCCACCTCAGCCTCCTGAGCAGCTGGGACTATAAGCTCATGCCACCATGCCCAGCTAATTTTTGTTTTTGTTTTTGTTTTGAGACAGAGTCTGGCTCAGTCACTCAGGCTGGAGTGCAGTGGCACAATCTTGGCTCACTGCAACCTCTACCTCCTGGGCTCAAGCCAACCTTTTGCTTCAGCCTCTTGAGTAGCTGGTACTACAGGCATGGGCCACCATGCTGCCTAATTTTGTATTTTTTGTAGAGACAGGGTTTCGCTATGTTGTTTGGGCTGGTCTTGAACTCCTGAACTCAAGTAATCTGCCCACCTCAGTCTCCCAGAGTGCCGGGATTATAGGCATCTACCACTGCACCCAGCCTAATTTTTGTATTTCTTTTAATCAGGGTTTCACATGTTGCCCAGGCTGGCCTCCAACTCCTGGACTCAAGTAATCCACCCGCTTCCGCTTCCCAAAGTGCTGGGATTACAGGTGTGAGCCACTGTGCCCCGCCACTTAATTCCTTTTTACTGCCAAATAATATTCTATTGTATGGCTATACCACATTTTACGTATCCATTCATCAATTGATGGACATTTGTTTTCACTTTTGTCTATATACAGTCCTGATTTTGGTGGAGATGTGTTTTCAGTTCTCTTGGATT